CATCTTTAATCCTCAAAATAATGTCAGAAAACTTATTCATATTTTCTTCATCTCTGTCTTAAAGATGTGGAAGGCAACACACCCCAAGGGCTAGGAACTTGCTCTAGGCCATGTGATTAACAGCAGATCAGAGGCAAGCTGGGCCTAGAGTTTATACTCTTCATATTCAATGATGACCACTTTGAGCTGAGAGGTGAATGAACAAAGAAGCAGAGAAATTCATACTATATTGTTTCCCAAGATGGTAACATTCATTTAAGTGTTCATTTAATTGTCCATCTTGATTCTTGAGAAAGAATCGACAGCATAGTGATGTGAGCACATGTTAGAAGGTCAAAAGACAGAGGATCTAAAACCTTATAGAAATGAGCATTGGACTATATGCTTTCTGTTTTTGCTCAAACTGGAGTCTATACTGGGGTCGTGCTTTTTCATAGTTTCTCCCAATAATGGCTGTCTAAAGAGTCACGACGTGTAGTTGTAGATTCTAATAAGGGAAAGAACAGGAAATGCCCCCAACAAAAAGGAGGGAAAATCGAATATAGCAGGACTAAGGGGGAGGGGAGAACACATACTTAAAGTACATAAAATACTGAAGACAATACATCTCTAAAAAATTGGTTATTCAAAACCACAAATAGGGTTTGTGAGCTCTCATATGAGGATAGAACTTCTCACTTTAAATTTATTTTGAGAACACATATGCATGCACAGACACCTTATCTACACTTTGGGGTAATGATGATCATATTATTTCTGGTGATCATTTTGAACAGAATGAACACTTCTGAGATTCAGTTCAGTTTCCAGCAGTCATATCTTGTGGCTTACAACCCCCTGTAACTACAGCTCCAGGGCATTTGATATCTTCTTCTGGTCCCTGTGGGCAATTGCACCCACATTTGCAGACACATATGCATACATGTAATTTTAATCTTTTTAAAGAATAGAAAGACTGTGACTTTCTCGCCTCAATATCTCCAGCATTTAGAATTCTTGCTGACATAGGTATTGGCACACACTTTTAAATCTTGCATTTAAAGGATACCAGAAGACTGTGTTTTTTTTTTTTTTTAGACAAGGTCTTGCTATGTAGCCCTGGCTAGCTTTGAACTTGTTATATGGTTCATATTAGCCTCCAACTCAAAATCTTCCCACCTCAACCTTCAAAGTCCTGGGATTTTGTGTGTGGCACAACATTCAGCTCAAAATACTGATTTGAATATTATGAGCCACCAAATGAGACTAGATGGGTTAGATTCAATTATAGGTAAAAATAGTCACTGGAGGAGTTTGTGGTGCTGCTACTTATTAGGATAAGCACTCCTGTACAGAGAATGACACATAGTTACAAAGAGATCCCTGTGGAAAGGTCTGGAGCCAGGACTATTCACAAAAGTTGTCCTTCACTGGACCAAGAGATACAGGCCTTTGTTAGGCATTGGTTGTGAACTTATTCCTTTTCAAGAGCATACCCTTTGGTAAAGTGTCTCTGAAGATGAGGAGGCCCCTGAGAAGTTGACAAATGAGGTGACTAACCCTTCCTTGAATGTTAACCTAGCTAGTGCATTTCCATGTTTACTATAGTTATTCAATTTCAAATGTTCTGTTTCCCACCTAGAAAGTTAGAATTGATATTTGAGAATATGGAATGATCTTAGAAAGGAATTTCAAATCATATGTAGGCAGTTGCTCTCAAATAAACACACTGGGCTTACATTAATGATAAGTGCTCGACCAATAGCTCAGGCCTGTTACTAACTAGCTCTTACATTTTAAGTTTACCCATATTCCTTATTTACGCCCTGCCATGTGGCAGTACCTTTATTAATATGGCATGTTCATCTTCTGCTCACTCTGCATCTGGCTGGCAACTCCAGCTCTGCCCTTCTTCCTCCCAGCATTCTCCTAGTCTGGCTCTCTTCCCTAGCCTTATTATGTTCAGTTATTGGCCAGTCAGCTTCTTTATTAAACCAACCACAGTGATTATATTTACACAGTATAAAAGAATATTCCATGGCAATCATATTTGCCATGGGATAAAAGAAAATACCTGAGCTCTTGTATACTTACAATAGAGTAGACTAAACATTTTACTCATGTAATATGACTTAGAGAAAGACAGGGGTAACATAGACATTTTGGCATGTGATGTTATCTTTTTATGAAATGCCCTCTTTCACTAAGTGTGGCTGGGTATCTGCTTGTAGTATGGACACAGGAATTAATAAACAAAAAGCTCTTCTTCAGGTGTTTCCATATGGTTGCATGCAAAATTCTTCCAAAGCCCAAGGTGCTCCACTGTTCTAATCCTAAAAGGAGCATGTGTGTCTGTCCACCAGGATGCATTTTACTCTGGAACCAGGAAGGGGACACAGGTAGCAGGATATGTTTCCTTCTCTGACCTAATTCTTCAGCATTTTCATGTCTTCTGGAGCCAACACACTTGGCCTTCTGTAGTAGGAAGCTCACATGCTCAAAAGTCATGTCTCAATGGGGAAGTAACCTGAGGAAGTAACCAAAAGCAAATTCACATTTTAATCCCTCCTAGATCATAGTGAAGAAATATACTTACTCTAAGAGTCCCCTGACCCAAATGCACACACAACCTGCTCTATCTAACGATAAATAATGTACTGGGTAGATTAGTAAGCACTTGAGTTTAAGAGAGCTTAAACAATCATTTCATCAGAACAAAGAAAGGTTGGCTTGTCCTTCATTCTAAACTTCTGGAGAATGTTAAAGAGCTTACTCTACATATAAGACATAAGATATAGGTCTGGGAAGCCAGGATGTGAGGAAAATCATATAAGTTCATAAGGCCATTTCTTTATTATTAAGTGCTCATAAATGATGAGAATTGGATCAATTTACAGGAATTGTTTCCTCCACTATTATTACTTAACATACAGATTTCAAAGATGTAAGCTGCAAAAATTGTAACACATTTCAATTTCCTTTTTTCATGCATAGTAAATGGAGAAGGGAAGCAAGCATTCCTTGGGCATTCCAGGAATAATGTTTCTAAGTGATCAAATGTTTTCATTTGCTTCTTTCTCCATCCTTAGGGGTAAACACTAAAACAGAGCTAAATATGTTTAATTTTTTAAAGATTTAGTACAAATTCCATAGTAACTTAATATCCAATAACATCTTAATTCTCTGGGTTCCCAGGGCTATTTTAAAGTCTTTAGGGGAAAATATAATTCTTTTTTCCCCCGTCTTTCTCAGCTTTGGTATGTTGCCATTAAACTTCACCCAGTCTCCCCATACTCTTCCAGATTCTCCATTCTCCTCAGCATGCAAGACCTAACAAGAGCAGGACGATGTTGCCTCTGAAGGGAAGGGAAGCACCTGTGGCTGTGATGAGCATGAAGTGTGCTCTCCAGGTCCAAATCCAAGTCCCTGGACTTTGGCAACATCTTTTTGTCCATATAATTAAAGAGGATGCTGGCTTCTTATTAAAGGCCCTCAAACGCTCTAAGTTTCTGGTTATTATGCAGAAAGATTTCATGGTAGATCATGAAATGGGACATTAATTGGCCCTTTTCCATAGTGTCTAGATGTTTTAAAAGATATGAATTATTTAACACCTTCCTGCTACTGTCATACATACTTAAGAAGCAAATAAAGACTGGACTTTGAGGGTTTGTATTATAGACTCTCCAAGGCAAATGACATTTCAAAGCCAAGAAAAGACATTTTAAGGTTAGAAGTATCATTTCTACTTAAAAATTATTTATTTTATTTTTATTTGTCTGTCTGTGTGTTTGTGGATGCCCATGGAAACTAGAAGGGGAATTGAATCCCTCGGAGTTTGAGTTACAGACACTTGTGAGCCACCTGATGTGTGTACTGAGATCCAAAGGCTAGTCCTCTGAAAGAGCAATAATCGCTGAGCCTTCTCTCCAGGCCTCTTTATACTTTTGATTACCAACATGAAAGAAATCCATAAATCTGGCCAACAAGGAATCCTTTCATTATTTGGTAGAAATTATAACCATTTAGCTGGGTGTGGTGGTGAACCCCGGAGGCTGAAACAGGAGGGTTCAGAATTCTAGGCCAGCCTGGGAAACATAGCAAGACCATATCTCAAACAAAGGGAGGGCGTTGTATAGCCACATAAATATCAGTGTTAAATTTAGTCCTTAATGTGACAGTTTTTCTCTTCATGTAGTGGTCCAAATTGCCAATTTAAATTTGCTTTCAATCTTCCAATTCAGTGAACTGGCTGGCTCCATCACCACGAAGGTTAAAATCAAGTTCAAGGATTTTTTAAAAATTCTGTTTCAAAGCCATGAATACAAATTTAACACTGCTGGCTCTCGTAAAATTGTGTGGAAGTAGCACCAGAGAGAGTAGAAAACCATCATCTCTGCAGGAAAAATAATTCACGGCTTAGCTGTGTTAACAGTGGGGAGTGCTGTCATTTCTGGTTAGTCAGGACAGTGTGGTACCAAGGTTGCCCTGGAAACTGAATTTCCATGTTGGAGTTCACATTGAGGTGCCTGTAGTGTACAGAATGCTATGCCAATGTCACACTTCCTGCAGTGCGGAGGAAGATCACAGTAGTATCCTTAGGGTTGGGGCACAGACTGCCAGTGGCCCAGAAACTGTTGTTTGTGAACGCTGTCCTGCTGGCTCTGTTGACCTGACTTATGGATACTGATTCTTTTATGAGAAAAATGAAGAGATTAAAAGGGATGTGTCATCTCTATTTCACACCATAGTGCCCAAGGAAGCCATAACACATCAGATTTTGCACTAAAATTTGAGGCCAACAGCCAAGTCCACCCCCACAGTCTATTGATTTTTTTTCTTAAGTTTCTATCACACATTCTGGAAATCAATTTCCTTTTGATTGCCCTTACTTCTTCATATTCTTGAAAATATTCAAACAGTAGCTACATGGATCATATATACACACTGAAGAAAGATATTAAAGAAGAGAGGAATAAGAGGAAGAGAAAGAAAAAATAACAATACTTATATAGCCAAAATTTTGGAGGTACTCTATTTTTATTTCAGATGGGGAGAATTCAAAATTTGAGCCTCAATGACCAAAAATATATTGGAACAAAATTTTCAGAGGATAAGCCGGGCCACCACTATGGCAACAAGTCTCACATAGACAGGTGGACATTAGAGAATGATGCTCGAGACGTGGCTGAAGCTATTGTGCACCCACAAATAGATTCCTACTTGCTTGACTAATTCTGTTATAAGTATGGCACAGTGTCCATGCCACTAGTAATTTATGCCTTCTCCAGAGTCAGCAGAGTATCCATCTGTGTGTGTGTGTGTGTGTGTGTGTGTGTGTGTGTGTGTGTGTCTTTGAAAGCCTACTACTTCCTCATAAAAGTTTTGCTTCATTACCTGCAAAAGCCTTCAGTTTATAAATTCCTTATGCAATATTTATAACTTCAAGGTCATTTAATGAATGACTATAGCTGTCAGGAGTTCCACAGTCACATCAAAGAACCCGTGTGTTAGTTATTTTAGTATCAGCTAGCTGTGAGTAAACCTCACTAAACATATCCATGTGTCCGGAACTTGAAACCAGTAACCAGAACTTGAAACCGGTAACCTTTCGAGGCAAATCTTAGACCAAAACAACAAGGTGAAACAACAACTGAGGATCTCCTAAGAAAAGTTGGGCAAATTTTTCCCTAATATGCACCAAATAGGGACAGCCTGACCCACTCTTGCACAGGGCCCCACATTTTCCCACTAATAAAGAGTCAGAAACCCAAACCACATTCGGAGCCAACAGGGGAAATGCCTGAATTTGAAAAGTAACCAAAAGAAATTCTTTCAGGGAAAGGAGATGGGAATGGAAAACGAGTTCCCAGAGTCACTTTCTGTTGAAAGCACTTTGAGTCTTTAGGACTAGAATATGCACAATCCTGTGGGACTCGCTCCATCTTTCTCTGCCTTAACTCTTTTCTTGCCAGTCCTTCTCTGGCTGGTTGAACTGCTCCTGTGGTTGTCCCAGCCAGAAAGCCACTCAGCAGCAAGCCTCAGGAGCTGCATTCCTCGCAGTGACAGGAGAGGATGTACCGGTAAGTGGCGGTGAGTCGCATGCCCCCTGAGCAGCGCAGACGCAAAGCCTTCAGTTTGGAGGTCTGAGGTCGACAGCAGTGACAGGACGAACGGAAAGGTTGCTTGAGGACAGTGCTGAAGGACACCAATGGCTCAGAGCGTGATGCCTGGCTGCAGTGCCCCTCACATCTGGCCAGGAGCACCATCTGGAAAAATAAGGGGAGGTGATTACTCTGTGTAGTTGTCAAAACCTCAGGTTACCACAGCATCCTTTGAAAGAACCCAACACTCCTTACCAATTCCTGCTGGGTCAGACCAGTGGCTGCAACTTTGGTTACACATCAGAATCTATTGTGTTTAAGGCATTGTGGCTCAGCCGTAGAGGACTTGTTTAGCATGGACAAGGCTCTAGGATAAATCCACAGTACCTGGAGATTGGTAGGAATCCATTCAACACTACCTCATCTGAAACTATTTTGAATCAAACTCCTTTAATAAGGCCCCCAGGCTTTCATGATGTTTAGAATTCTTTAGGTGACTATGAAGTACAGTGAGGGCTTAGAATCAGTCAACAAGATGTACCACTATGGTCTGAATAAAAAGATCCAGAAACAAACCTAGTGATAAACTTCAGGTGGTAGGGTGCTTGCCTAGTGCAACCACATGTCTGGGTCAGTCTCTAGGACCATATAAACTGTGGATGGTGACACACCCCTATAATCTCAGCACTTAATAGAGGCAGAAAGGATCCGGAGTTGAAGGTCATCCTCACTTACACAGTGTGTTCAAAACTAGCTTGGGTTACCACCTTGCCTTCAAAACCAAAACAAAATAAACATCTGAGTACAAAATGAGTTGCTCCTGATGGATGGAGGTCTACCCAAATGTATTGCAGTTCTACCAACAACAAGCAGAAAGTCACCTCAGATTGAAATCTAGGAGCAAGCAGAGATTGATGGGATGGGGGGTCCAGTGGGAAATCGCTAAACAGAAGAAATATGGTCTCTGTAGAAGAAAAGGGAATAAACTAAGTGTTGCTTTGGAAGAAATATTCTAGGTGCAACTTAGAAGAAAGGGAAGTAGAGACGGGTACATTCACGGGCCTGAGAGTATATACCTGGGCTTATACCTTAAAGAGGTACCAGTCATTTATACAATTTATGTCAGCATCTTCAGAGTTATTTAGAGCAAATTCACCCTGACTCTCTCCATTTCCAAAGGGATGGGCTGCTGTGTCAGAGCTTTCATGTTCGTTATAGTAATACTCTATTAGGCCTCTAATTAAGGGGCTGGAAAGATGATTCCGTGGTTAAGACCACTTGCTGGTCTTAAAGAGGACCTGGATTTGTTCCCAGAACCTACATCACACAGTTCCCCACAGCTTGTAACTGCAGTTCCAGGGAGGTCCAACACCTGGTCTTCTTAGACACCTGCACCTATGTGGTGCACATATAGATAAGCAGGCACACACATACACATAAAATAAAAATAAATAAATCTAAAAATGAATCTGCTAAAAAGTATTAAAATTATCCTCAGAAAAATGTACATACCAAACATTTTGCATACAGCTTAAGGAGATGGGCAAAAGGCTCCTTTGATTATTATTTTTTTAAGACTAGAGGTAAGGAACTCAGGGGGCTATTTCCAAAGTAATACCCTTCCCCTAAAAAGGAAGCCTGGTGGTTTCCTATGGGAGCCTAAATGTATTCACACTGGAAAGCACTTTAGATGTGGGTATATTCCTGAACACACTGAGCATAAGGAAGAGATTCCCAAACATGTCTGGTTTAAGGTCATAGTTCAAGAAGGAAAGATGCTGAACACATCCCTTGGCATGCCCAGGTCAAAGCCATCAATTGCATGTTCAAGGAGATAAAGTGATGAGCAAGAACTCTTCTGGCCATGGTTAGTTTGAATTATAACAGTGGGCAGGTGGACTCACTTGCTCTGTTTTCCAAAAAAGTTTGAGTTAAACCCAAAGAAAAGATATTTTGAATGTATGTTAAGACAGGAGTTAGCCCCACAAAGATAAAGGGCAGCTCACATCATTCAAAGATCCTGGAATCCTAGGGGTGGAAGGCATGAGTGAGGTGGGGCAAGGCAGCTTGATTCCTGGTGACATATAAGCTTATAATATTTTGATAATTAGCATTTAACATTAAATACTCACTAGAGATGATCTCTGACATCATCCTATGGGGCAAAATTAAACATCCACAGATAAAGGGATAATGGCTGGCACATCTTTCCAAAATTGGGCAAAGATAACTCCTGATAGTTAAAGATTACTAACATCATTATTGTAGGAAATACTGAGGGAAATTTCAACAATTAATTCACACACATGAAGGAAATGTAAAATACTAGCAGAAAAACTTAGCAGGACTGAGGGAGGAATAAGTAGAATTGGTCTAACATTACTTTCTTTGCAAGGTCACAAAGGCAGAGAGAAAATGGCTGCTGTAAGCTGTTTTGATTCTATTAAAGCATTTAATGCTATTCTGTCTGTTCTTCAAAGTGATAGGCAACATAAACATCATCCCAAACAGGTTTGAGAGGATTATGTTGTAGATAAGTACCACCTGGCCCATCTCTGGTGTCTACCCCCATTTCTCTAAGAAGAGAGTCCAAGAACATCCCCAGTTCCTTCCCTTGTGTCTGCCACTACATGGGAAAAGGTGATTCACATATTGGAACAGTGTAAAATTTGCTGCTCCCTAATCCAGGTTATCTATTGTAGATTGAAGCAATACCATTCGGCCACTTTCCAAAATGTAGTCTTTAGAGATCCACATGGACAAAACAAACCTATGCCAACAGGACCAATTAAGAAGAGTCAAGGACAGCATGGGCTATCCCAGTAAGACATACACGTGAGCCAAAAATAGCCCTAAATGATCAGGATATTAGCTGTCCATAAAATAGTCAAGTCTGCAATAGAGGGCAACTTGAAGACACGCTTACTTAATTGTGATTTTACTAAAAGTTTTCAGGATATCAAGTTCCATGTCCAGTCCACAGTGAAGGACAAGATCTCTAGGATGGAAGTACCTAAGTCCAACTCCAGTGGGCCTGGCCCCTGTTTCTCAAGTACTGTTTCTGCACAAGAAAAATGAACAGATATGTGTAGTCAGCACCTACTATGGCTGTCCCAGATGTCAAATACTTCCAGTCTTTTAAGTGTTCTCATCATCCACTCCTGCTCCCGTCAAAGTCAAGCTTAACTATTTAAGAGTCCATGGAACTGCCCTCAGTTCTCCTGCCTCCTGCCTCTGTGTATGTTTTTACTCTCCCAGTAAAGTCATTTTCACTTGGTTCTGTCTAATGAAATCCTTTCTATATCTTGTCTGTGGGCCTCCTCCTCCAAACGCTGAGTCAATTAATAGATTTTGATATTCTCAGTACACACACACCAGAGAGAGAGAGAGAGAGAGAGAGAGAGAGAGAGAGAGAGAGAGAGAGAGAGAGAGAGAGTAAATCTACCTTTATAATGAGAACTTAACAACCCCAGAAACATTCCTTTCTACTATTTTAACCTTCTAAATAATGTTTTATGACTTTGAGCTGGGTATGTCTTTCTTCCAGATGACCTTCAGCATATATACCAGGAACAAGACCCATCCACACCTTCTCTCACCAGCAAGGTCAAGATGTGACTGTTCAGCTCATTTATAGGAACCCAGGTCAATATTCAAAGGGTCTGTGCCAGGCTGAGGTCAACAACAAACTGACACCCAGGGGAACAAAGTAGCATAGGGGTGGTGAGATTTGCTGTCTGTTACTGTCACACAAGCCATAAATCAAACAGATATGAAGAGGTATTTGCATACAGACACTTCCTTTTCCTATATACTGTTAAAGCATTATGAGGTGAGGGGTAAAAATTTCTTTGTCTTCTTCCCATTTTATTTTTGTCTCTAGCAACTTTTATGATGCCTGCCCATAGTAGGCATCAATATAAATTTGTTCTTATTTTAAAAATCAAGCCACATCTCTCAAGTGATCAATTATGTTATAAACTCTATATCTTAACTCCCATATTTTTTCCTATGAGCTTCTTGGGAAGCAGCAGAAGATGACTTGGGGATTCTGACAGTTCTTTCCCAATCCAGCAGCTTGGTCCTTGACACTGGAAACCTTCTCTCTGGGAATTTTTACAGCCTTTGTCTCCTCAGCCTACCTCCTTTCCTCATAACCTGCTGTCTCATCTTTCCCATAGTAGTTGCCCTTCACCCCACCCTTAGAAGCTGGTTCTACTCCCTTACCTTGGACCACCATCTCCTACTTCTCAACAACTTGGACTTTAAACACCCATGGAGCCAGTTCATGTTGCCAAGCCAGGTTCCTGAAAATCCAAGCCTGGTCAGGAGTCAGAACTCATCCCTACACCTCCTCCACTCACCTATAGTCTGCTCCTGTTTTAGCCTCGCTCTTAGCACCCAGCACAGAGGCTTACATTTACTTTGCTCTTCCCCACCCCTCCCACGTCCAGCAGAGCCATGGGGAGGTTCACTCCCCTAATCCTTTAAGGCTGCAGGGATCCCAGCAGTTATTGAAGTCTTAGTAGTGACTGAAATAGAAAAGTGGCTTGACACACCTGCCTAGCTTACAACTTCATCACCAGGATCATAATAGCATTTATTAAATGTCTGTTATATGGCAGACAATATGTTAGCTGATTTACAAATGTGGCCATACATATCCATGCCCTTGGCCAAACAACTCCTTTTGCAGAGGAGGAAACTGAGGCACCAAACAATGATTTGGCTTTCCTGAAATCACCCATTTGGAAAGCTGTTAATAGAGAATTGGAAACCAGATCTCTGCTGCCTTGAGACCTGGGATGCTTTAGTGTCCTTCAACATTTTCCAGACATCCCATCACCCCCAGCTGCAGACCTTCAGCTTGTTTGCTTTATGGGCCTTTATGAAGAATTTTAGAAAAATGTGATTTCTTGGGAAGAGGGAAAATGAACCTGCCACTCTCAGGTCCTTTGGACCCAACCCCATGAGACACCATCACTAACAAAGTCACCAGGTATAATCTAAACAGTGACCACTCTGCCTTTCTTGGTAGGTCAGTCTTTTCTGCCTGAGTCTATCTTAGTTCTTCCCTGAATTGCTAGAAAAGTGACAGGAATCTAAAACTGGCCAAATGTAAGTTGAGGGCCATGGTGGACAAAGCTTCCCACTAAAGGTGTCCAGAAAAGAAAGCTTTATCTACTATTTCTCATTTTTCTAGAAAAAATTGCAAGATATGAATCATTACTGCAGGCAGCTAGACCTGGATTCTAGATGATAACTCTTACATTCTTCTTGCATTTCTTCAGTGAGAAGCCAGGTAGTAGAAAAATGAAATCTCCAAAGAAGATACTGCCATTCCCAGGCAATGTGACATCAAGAAGCCTAATCTTTCTTTTCTTCTGGGTTGTGAGTTTCCTTTATTGTAGCATGGGAATGATAACATCTACATGGCAGGTGTCTTGGCAATGATTAGTATATATTTATATCTATCTATATCTATATCTATCTATATTTATATCTATATCTGTCTATCTATTTGTATATATATAGAAATGCAAGAAGAAATGTGAAGAATATATATATATATATATATATATATATATATATATATATATATATAGAGAGAGAGAGAGAGAGAGAGAGAGAGAGAGAGAGAGAGAGGACTGACACAGGTTAGGTGTTCAAGCCAGTATCTTCCCTTCCTTGGGCCACAGGTAGATTCTGCAGGGCAGACACACTGTATTTATCTAAGTCAAGAGCATTAACTGGTAGGCAAAGAGTGGTCATGTGTCCAGAAAACAGGGCTCTTAAAAATATTTGTAGAGATATAAAATCTGCCCCAGTCCCTTCTTTCCAGACATAGGCTGAATGTTTTTTATCCCAAGTCTCTGAAGGAAAAAGCTCATCAGATGAGACCCATTAGAGGGAATATCAGCCTGAGTCTGTAAAAGTTAAGAACTATAGAATATTTTCAAATGAAAATAATTTTCTTCCTCAGTGCATAAAGAAAATTTAATCCAGAAATGGTCTGGTAGCTGAAACTCTGCCAGGCATATTTTTGTGGCCAAGGAAGGAAGGTTAATAATTACAAGCAGCATTTACATAAAACCATTGCTGTATTTGGGGTCATTTGGGATGTTTGAAAACAGATTGTTCCCATGAAATGGCAAACCTTTCTTCTATTATCACAATTTTACACTGTTGTTCACTGTGGCATTCTGGAAGAAGCAAAGGGGAACAATCAGCTAAAAGTAGCTTCTAAGAGTCCTGCTCAAATCCTGTGAGTTTGAGTTAACGGCATTTCTTCCTTGACTCTTGCCCTCTTAGGTTACCATGTTAAGACAGTCTTCCATCATTTTGTCCAATCTTTCTAGATTATCTTCAATTTTTCTTTTGGTTTTAGAGATGGAACCAAAGGCCCCACACATGCTAGGCAAGTACTCTACCGTTGAATTCCACCCCAGCCCACTTTCAATGTTTTTATAGATGCTACTATTTTCTATAATCCTTCCTTTCACCACAATGACACTTTCTTAAATTTGAATTCTTTCTCTCTCTCTCTTTTTTTTAAAGAAACATGATTATAAAGGACAGCTCAACAAAGGAAGAAATCATCCATGAACTAACAAACACGAAATATCAGTGCTGTCTATTCTGAAGCAATTTCTGAGCAATTGTGGCTATAAAAATTTTTCTCATCTCTTTTCCTCACAGTTTTTTTCAAGTTGTCGTTGCTACTTTTTGTGCCTCTGTGGTGCTGAAATGACCTCTAAGCAAGTGTGTCCCCTCAAGCCCGACCTGCTCCACCAGCTCCCACTCTCTCTCAGTTTTCAAGAAGAAATCTTAGCAAACTGTATGCTCGCCACCTAATTGTTTCTCTTCAGTTTTGTTCCTCAAGTATAAACAAGATCCAGGATATTTTCTCAAGTGGAAAAATGTCTCTATTTCTTTTGCTACAGTCCAAGGTCTTATTAATATAATGGTGAAATTGATTTAACTCAAATTTTGATCCCCTCAAACTGAAATAAGGAATCTTCCTTGGGCTACAACCACATAAGTTATGGAAAATGTAAAAGCAGACATGTTTTGAAATGGAGGGTGGAGAGCTTGATTTCTATGACCTTAATTCTAGTGGTTTATATTATTTTGAAAATTCTTAATTATACGGGTAATTTTAAAAATACTTAACATATGAGAATGTTTAAATGTGTTTTGTTGTTGTTTTAGTCTCAGGACTAAAGTGAAAATCCTTTGAGGTTGAGCTAAACAGAGTCTTGTTTACTAAGTGTGGACACATTTAGTGCATGTGACTGGAGAATGATAGTCATGAGAATTTTCATTTGGAATCCATTCCATCCTACACTGTGCCTCCCTTCTGGGTGGTCTATGTGGCAGCCACTCTTGGTGGTCTTTCAGTGTGGTATGACTTTGCACACCTCTTCTCAGCACTGAGACATAGATGACCTGTGTAAGAAGCACTCCACCCACCACAATAAGAAAAAACTGCTAAGCAAAGGAAAAATTATAAACAATCGTATTGTCGTCCTCAGTTCTGGAGTCATTTTAGCATAAATGTGGCACATGGAGGAAGGTTTAGACCACACAATTTGTTCTTGGGTAGTTCAGAAAACTGTTTGAAGAGCCTCCAAGAATGTGTTCTACTGTTAAATCATATTCAACTTCTTCCCCTTCTTTTTGTTGTTAATGCAGGTAGAAGAAATTATGGTAACTTGGAGGCTCCATTTTTCTTGCTTCTTTTTGCACATGTATGTGAGATGTGTGATGAGTGTGTGCATGTTTCTGTACATGTGTATATATGTACGAAGGTGATTGTGGTGGTCGGAGATTGATGGAGGGTTTGGTCTTCAATTGTTCCTTTACTTTTAAAGACAGAATCTCTTTCTGAACCTGAAGCTCATTTGCTGGGCTAGCCAGCCTGCCCCATTGGTTCTCTTGTCTTTGCTTCCTCAGCCTTGGGATTAGAGATGTGTACCACCATGCCAGGCTCTTCTACATGGGTGCTGGGGATCCAAACTCAGGTCCTCACTTTACCCACTGAACCCCATTCCCAGCCCCTGTTTTTCTTTATTGAAAATGAACATTTTTGCTCATAAATTTCCCACTCAGGGACACAAGACACCCCAACAATAGGATAAGCATGCACATGTTCTACGGACAGACATAGAAATGCAAAGCATACTGGGAAAACTCTAAAGAAAGATTCCCTTATGAGTTTTGCAGGCATGTCACAGAACTACAGTTTGGGCTCTGGCTCCATCACCTGACAAGGAAATATAGCTTCTTTTCTGAAAATGAGGGGAGGGGTATCCTCTCAATGACTTTGGAGTGATCTTGACCTTACCTTTGAGCTACACTTGTACAATGGGTGACTGATAGAATCGACATAATGGTGTCTCATGCAGCGTTGAGAGTCCATCAGGAAGGAGCTGTCTGTTTTGGTATCTGTATCTCCCATTATGGCCAGCAGGGAGAGCATAGAAATGGATGCAGCTAGTACATGACTTCTCATTGTTGTAAGGGGAAACTTCTCCAGAAGAACAGCAGAGGGAGACAGAGGACAATAGATTGGAAATGCTGTCACCACCTAGGATCCAGTTCCTTTCGAGGCCAGGGCAGGATGGGGCTGTCGCTTTCTGGTTGTCATTGTCCTTTGTAAGCTGGAGTTCTGTCTTGCTCCTTTCACTTGTAACGGATTGCCACAGTATCTGCCGCACAGCTGGAATGAGAGAAGAAATTATTTTCCCCAGAAATATTTCCCCAGAAATATGGATGCAACACAAGAGATATGAAGTCAAACATTTCCATGTCAATTGGGGTGAAGGGTATTGGTTTCTGGAGCCTTATTAGTTAATGCTGTCATCCATTTCATAGCCCCTGACCTTAGTGTTTATGCTACATATTTATGACCATTTGGAAATGGACATGACGGTTGAGTGGAAGCATATGTTGACTTTAATTGATAGTCTATGTGCCTAAGAGCAAGAATAGTTTGAGCCCATGATATAGATTAAAAATACATGGTTCTGGCCACAGCATAACTAAATTGGGTGGTCTCATCTTTGTCCTTGGCTGGCAGGGCAGGAGGGTTTATTCAGATTCTCTCAAAGCTTTGGTATTAACATCAGCTTACAGGACTAGGGAGGAGGAAGGTCAGTGCTAATGAACACAGGCCATGGCCCGAGGGAGGACATTTTCCATTCTATACCCACCCACCTAATTTTCCATTGCTGTACTCTGGGCTCATCCTGTTTTTGTTTTAAGTTCTTGCCACCCAGCATCAGTGGCCAACTGCGTCTGAAACCCACATTATGATCACTGGCCTCCAGCGTGGCTAAGGCAATACATGTGTATTTCCCAATGGAGTCACACATTTCTGCACAACCTTTGTAGCTGAAGCCCACAGCGTAATTTGAAAAATGGTCATTGGAGCAGAGACTTACCATTAAAGTGAGATTATGTTGGACTGATTTTCCTAAAATTTGCTTTGTTCTTTTAGCCATACCTCCTGGTCAAGGGACCGGAGTTCAGCAATCTACTAAAATTACCTCACTGATGCTTTTCATTATACAAGAAGACACAGAATATCAAAAATATTTTCAAACATTTGAGGAAATTGAGAGAACCTGACTGTACATACCAAACCAAAGGAATGGAGTAATTAAAGCTTCAGAAAAACTTTCAAAGATATTTTAGATCAAAGTTTGATCAGTTCAGAGTGCAAGCATGTTCTTCATGAACAGTCTGAATAAACAGGGTAAAGTGTTGATGTGATCAAGGTAAGAAGTTCAAGGTGCTATGAGTCAATTCATTTGACGTAATAGAGTGTGGGCTCAGACCCACTTAACTGCAATTAGACAACTTGCAAGTGTGAGGTGGGGCATTCTGAGTGGAAAGGGGTGTGGCAACAGGACCATCTCAGAGCAGAGCATCCCTGGCAATAGCAAAGGCTAAGAGCCCGTGTCTCTAGGAAGTTCTGTAATTGCAGGAAAGACATGGACCAATAATGAGAGGAACCACCTGGAGTAAGTCATGACACAACCATTAATCAGCTGTGGCATCTTGCACAGCTCACTTAAATTCTTCCAGTCCATTTTCTCACCTATAGGTGAGTTGAGAGCAACGGCGTATACGCAGTTCCCTCCTGCTTTAAAATGCCAGAATTGAATAGTAATGGATTTGGCTACCACCATTTCAATATGCAGAGGATATTCCTAAAGATGGGAAGAGCCTTCAGATAGCCTTGCATCTCTTTCCTTTTTGTACATGTTCATGGTGACCTCTCTTTAAAATGGATCAAACCTATGCTCAAATATCTCAATGGGTCAAGGCTGCAGAAAAACTTTTTTTTCTTACTGAAAATAGATTTTTTTCATACAACATATTCTGATTGCAATCTCCCCTCCTCCAACTCCTCCCAGATCTTGGCCACCTTCTCACCCACCCAAAACCACACCCTTTCTTGTTCTCATTAGAAAACAAACAAGCATCTAAAAAATAATGATGAAATAAAAACAAACAAAACAGAATAGGACAAAACAAACAAAGAGGGGAAAGAGCCAAAGAAAAGGCACAAGAACGCAGACATACACATTTGCATGCACAGAGATCTCATAAAAACACAAACCTAAAAATCATAATGGTAAAAAAAAAGCTCAAAGCATTGTGAGACAAAACATACTTCAAAAAATGCCACTGAGTTCATTTTGTGCTGGCCATCTACTGCTGGGGCCTGCAACTAAGTGTGGTTTGTATACCCAGTGAGACTCCTTTAGAGAAAACACATTTTTTTATTTGAAGGTTATCAACTGGAGATAGCTTCTGCGTTAGAGATGTGGGCTGTGTCTATGTGCCAGTGCTGAGCACCAGGGAACCACCTGTGCTGGGGACAGACAGGAACTTTCATATGAGTCCTGGGGTCTATACTCACCGGGGTGCTCACGTTTGAGCAGCAGATACTCTACTGACTGAAGCATATATCTTCAGCCCTGAGAACTGGTTTGTTTTCTTGAAGTGATAAACTGAACCCAAAAGTAGTTATAAAGGACAAAAGAGGGCTGGAGAGATGGCTCAGCAGTTAGAAACACCAGTTGCTCTTCCCGAGGATCCAGGTTCCACTTCGGGCACCCATGGGGTGGGGGGTGGGGGTTTACAACCTTCTGTAGCTACAGTCTCAGTGAATCTGATGCTCTCTTCTGCCCTCCTTGGGCACCAGGCACACAACTGATGCACAGACACACAATCAGGCAAAATACCCAGACACATAAAATAAAAAAATAGAAAAATTAAAAATGACAGAAAAATAACAAAGGAAATGTGGCTTTACTTCTAGTAGGAGGATTTTTGCTTTCAGTGCATTCATAATAGTTATGACATTTTTTGTTTAGTTTTTCTATTAACACTGAAATAACATTGCAAGCAATGATAATAAATAGAATTCATCAAACCTTCAAAATGCAAGGGTAAAATCTTTACAGTGGAAAACTAATATTTGGCTTATTATTATTATTATTATTGGTAGAAGTCTTTTAGATTTATTTATTTTTAGTTTATTTTATGTATATAAATATTTTGCCTACATGCACATACGTATATTAAGTGCATGTCCCATGCAGGAGATGGTCAGAAGACATCATCAAATGCTTTAGAACTGAAGTTATTTATTATTGAGAGCCATGATGTGAGTGCTGGGAATGGAATCTAGGTCCTCTGCAAGAACAAATGTTCGTAATAACTGAATCATCTCTCCAGTTCTACAATTTGGTTTTTTTGTTTATTTGTTTGTTTTGATACAGACTCTCACTGTGTAGACCTCTTGAGATTTCAAGGTATCCTGAAATTGCAGGCCTGTACCACAATACAGGCTGAGATTCCTGTTGCATTTTGTTTTGCTTTAACTGTACAAATGAGCCAGCACTGCTGTGCTGAAGAAGAGTTTATGAAAATAAAGCTCAAGAACGAAGAACTACTGAGTCAAGACCAGGATCTTCAGTGTGAACACGGACTTACAAGGAGGAATATGGGGAATTAAGAAAATTTGTACCACCAGTATGGCTCATTAAGGAAGGGAATGGCTCAGTTGCCTTTAGTCTACTGGCTATGGGTGAGATAGGACCTCTGTTGGTCTTTTCTGTATCGAACACACAGATTGCAAGCCCAGTGCCACTTTGAGATCTTTGGCAGCAGTTAACTCTGCAGCTCACACATGATTGAGTCTGTATGATAATGAATATTCAGAGATGGGTAATGCAAGGGGGCACTCACCAACCTAAGACAGAGCACTTGTGTTGCCTGGGCAGGCGTCTCCATGACAGGTAAGGTTACCTGCTGATGTCCCACACAACCCAAGTCAGAAGTGCATTTTTTAATAAAAGGGGCACCTGTAGGTCCCTGGCCCCCATTTTTGGGTAACTGTTGCCTTGCTTGCAGACCTTGACCTTGATATCCTCCCTATGCTAATTCCCTGCCAGGTTCCACCCTCCTGAATGCTTAAGGGAAGTTGCTTGTCTGTGTATCCTGAATAATGGGCGTTAACAGCTTAGATGCAAGATTGTAAAACATCTGTATCAAACTTCTGCCTTCCGGGGTCCTCCCATTGTGCTGGAAGCCTGTATTTAAGACCTCCTACCCCCTTCAAGAAATGACATTCGGCATTTAAAATTTAAATATATATATATATATATATATATATATATATATATATATATATAACTGAATACTTCGAATGTAATCTATGAATACCACAAATGTGATTAATATCATGAGTGTAATTAATGAATATCATGAGTATAATTAATGAATATCATGAGTGTAATTAATGAATATCATGAGTGTAATTTAAAAAAAAAAGAAAATTTGTACCACTACAAGATTCCTTTTTCTGCCAGACTAGGATAGCTCAGCTTTATGGGAGCTTCTCGAATTTTCTTGAAACTAAATTAATTCATTTGTCCTTTTTATTTTAAGTCATATGTAACAAACTCAAATGGTGATTATCAGGATTTAGGACCTCAGCCAGCCAAGTCATGATGAGTTGAACAACAGAGCTCAGTAGTCCTGTGTCCTCTTCGTGTTATGTGCTTTGGTGCAGTCTCTGAGACCTGAGTTTGGCCAGAGGACAGATTTGGCCCATGTCCTCCTGACTGCAGTGCAGAGCCTTTGCAGCAGGAGAAGCACGTAGGCCAGCACGGCCGACTTCGGAGCTTCCTTCCCAAAGCTCCCAGTGGAAAAGAACAACTGGTGCCCAGATTCCCACCTGTCAGCCTCGTTGAAATAGCAGATCAGCCTCTGGGTGAGAGATGGTGCTGTGCCACGGAGCAGCTCACTCTTGGGGTGACCTTCTGCCTGGCAGAGAGCAAAGCACTGCCTTTGCACAAGTGACTCCAGCAACAGGATAAGACAAGGGTCATGTGCCAAGAGCGGCCTTGGTTCTGTCCTACTTCTGAGGCAAAGGAGGGCAGTGTTTCCATATCTATGTTCCCCCTGAGCTGTTTTCAGTACCAAAATAGGCAGGTGTTCTTTTCCTGGTTTCTTTCAACAAACATTTATTTATTCAACATACATATTCATTCACTGAGCACCTACCATGGGCCTCCTTTTACTCCAGCAGATAAAATGGAAGGGTTAGGGGGTCAGGGGTGTGGCTCACACTCCAAGTCACAGGGTTAAATTCCCAGCACGAAAAGCATGTAAAAAAGATAAAGATGGGAGGAAAAAATA